GAACTGTTTCAGACCAGACAGGGGGAGGATGATTGATGAACGATCAGCTCCAGCAACCTGCATATGGAATGCACTTAGGGATTAACAATAAACTAATAACACTAAGTGTACTCCATGTACCTCGGATATCCTCAAGAAGTGTCCCCTGTTGTTGCTTCCCAGATCAAAGAAAAACCTCTTCTGATCTGCCCTGATTACTTTAGACATCCCCATGCCTCCCATATCATCATGTGTGTGCATATCAACCATTCTATCAGCATTCAATTCTGTGCCAGAGGCTGATTGGGCACTGTGGCCAGATATGAATCCAGCCCCAACATCATCTGAAAGTCCTGGAAGATGTTCCGGAGGTTCCATGTGTTGCTGTTTGTGTTACAACACAGCAGGGAAAAAAATTATTGACATGCTTAAGGTAACTATCACCCACCAAATCTTAGTGTACCAGTCCATCAAACTTTTACCTGATTGGGTACCATGAACAGTCGAGAAGCCTCTTCATGTATCTCTTGTAAAACATTCCTAAATGCTGTCCATCCTTCTTCGCCAGAATTTCCTGCAGGAACAATGATTGTACTCCGGTTTCTGTTGACAGATGCTTCTGATATCTATTTAAAAAAACAGTTACATCAGTTATTACACACACCATCATGCAAAACCACTTAAGCTCAAGGTGCATAATATATTTGTTGCTCATGATCTTGGCAGATTGACATTGAGGAGGACAAAGATTTTTATGTGGTTAACATGAAAAAAGTTGAACAGTACAATTGTTTGTTCCTGACATGAGCATGTCGAGAACGAAATGAGAACCATTTATGACACCTAAAGCTAGGAGTTCCACATGATAATTCAAATGCAACTTGAGGTGGTTTCTCTGTCCTTCAAGTACAGGTACATTATCTAGCTTAATATACAGTGTATCTGCAAGCAAACAAAATTGTCGATGAAGCAGATGCATATGTTTTCCATATCCACATTGGCACATAAGAAAATGAATTTAATAGTTGAGTATATGATACTTGAGTTGAGAATATTTAGCAAAACAAGGATAAGGTAAAGCTCTGCTTTTGGATATATACCCCTAGAGATATATGAGTATTCATGTACATGCCCCTCAAAAATTTGTATTTGTCTACGTAGCCTCTAAAATATCAAGTATTTTTGTGTTTATATATTTGAGAAGCTTGTATTTACATCTATACCATCCAAATAGTAGGAACTTAAGTATATAGCCATCTTCCTAGTTGTCTCTGGTTGATTTTTTGACAGTCTCTAACAGGTAATCGCAATCAAATTCTGATATGCCAGGCAATTCTACAACTTCCATAAGTTTTTCATTAAAAGCAAGTTCAAATAGTTTATCAATCTAACACACAATCTAGTAGAGATCAAATATATAGAGAGGAGGTGGTAGGAGAAGCTGATTGCTGACAGCAGTAATGCTGAGATTACAGAGAAACAGGATAGTCTATTTGCATGTTCCGGAATATATTGCATGCTTTGTTGTTAGAGAATAGAGAGAGTTAACATTGCTGACGAATGTAACAAAGGATAAACTATTTAATAAACAGGGCTGAGAAGGGAAGTGCAATCGCTCATAATCGGGACCACAATGGAAGTGGATGGTTAAGGTCCATTCTACATGAGTTACTAGGTTAGTGGGCTGACCTGGCCAGGTCGTGACAAGGATAAATATATTTTAGTTTAGGTCCCCCATATGTCAAGTCATATATTTGCACCCATTTGGAAGTTTTATCAAAACTACAACCATTAATTTGAAAGAAACCTTGATTACAAATGATAGATATAAGCACATAAAAGGTGCATCAATAAAAGATGAAACTAGACAAAAGTTATAACATCAATCTTTAGTTATCACGTTTTCTTCTACAGACATGGGGGAAGATGAGCAAGTACTTACTTGCTGAATTGATAATATTGAGTTACTAAAGTTTGTAACTAATTAATATTAAATGTTATTTTGCATTCTGAAAGTGAAATACACACAATGGCTTTGAAAAAAGCATCAAAAGTCAAGATCAACCTGTTGAAATTTTATATTGGTTAATTCAACTAGCATCATACTCAAGCAAGCTGGATTGCATCAAAATAAGAGAAAACTAAGAAACAACAGATCATGGACAAAAATAGACAAGGTGTACCAGTCTTGAATGATCCTGGGCCCAATCCAGTCACGAAAGAAAAAATCTTAAAGAATTTACAACAAAATTCTCAACAGAAAGTGGTATAGATAAACTAAAAGTTGCAAGGCTTGTCTAAGTTAATTTAATCTACCACACCCACAAACAGATATTAGAATAATTATATTCAAAATATTGATGAATAACTACTCTGAATTAAGATACTTCAAAATAACATCCATATCAGGCAGTTGTTGCACCCCCTTGGCTCAAACCTTGATCTAATATCTATCAAACTGCATCTACCAAAGATTCTTGTTTTATGCTGCAAGCTTCATGAAGGCGATAAAGTGTGATCATGAGTGTTAGAGGTGCAGTAGGATAGCTGCTCAACATAAGTTCTCTGATGGCATGGTCAGTGTAAAATTAACATGCCCAAAATTTCTGTCAATATGCTAGAAGTTATACACAACCAGAAGAATAAAACTTAGAGCATCACCAAATATTTTGGATCCAATAAATTTTGATCTTCCACTTTTTGCACAATCATTCAAGTTCGTGCCTTTATGTCCTCCTTTAGTACTTTCCAGCAAATTCTAATACACTAATGGAATCAAATTCTCTATATCACCTTGGGTATTTTCGGCTTTAGATTCTTTCATACTACCTAGTAAATTCTAATACAGTGACTCAATTCATCGTTCGAACCATTTTTTATATCACCTTGGGTACAATGTAAAGGTGAAAAACTAATTTTTTTTGCTTCACAAAAAATAGAAGTCTATCATTTAGAAAATAATATACCCTTTGCATATTTACCAGTTATCTGTTCTCTGTAGTGCTGCTTCTGAAGTCTATCATATGTTTTTAATATTGAACACTGTCACTATTAGTATCTTCTTAATTTCTTCTTCCCCTCATAGTTTAGGTGCACTAGCTTATGACCACCACGGAACATATGATACTGTCATAGACATGCATGATCCTCTAAGCCCAAAAGACACCGCTTCATATCACACAGCTTCAATGTAACTTCTCTTGAGTGGATGACCCAGGGAAAAAAATTCTGGAGAGGCAAGAAAATTGTACACCAGCCAAAACATGGGAACCACAATTCCTCCCATCACTGTGTAACAGAAACTAATATGTTGCCGCAAAAGCAAATGCTGAAGTTTTCGGATGCACCTGTACTTTTTGACTTTTTTTGTTTTGTGGGTTTGCTCGCTTGTTCTCCAAAAGCACTACTTCCAACCCAAGTCTGGCACCTATTTGTAAGTTTGTTGTCTTTCCAATTCCAAATTTATATTAAGCTCCAACTAGCTAATCCACTACTAGCTAGTAACAAATTGACCACAGGTCTCCAGGTCTTCAATAAGAAAAGCTGAGGTATTCATCATCATACTTGCAACATATGAAATAATTCCAAATCCCAATGACCACAAAAGATCAAGAAGTCGATTCTTTTGCATGATGCATTCAATTATGCCTAATAAATGAACAAAACTTTTTGAGTTCGTAGTAATGACGTGTACCTTGAGAAAGCGCCCCCTTTTGTTCTCACCAAAGTCAAAATAAAACGCCTTTAGGAAAAACAACAAAAACATCAGCAGAAAGATTCAAAGACCCAACCTTTACAAAACTAAGAGAAAAGGTCATCAAAGCAGCCACCTTGGAATCAAGCTTGAGCTCCTTGCTGAACACGTCCTGCTCGTCCGTGCTGATGTAGTAGCCGAACAACTCGAGGAACCAGACGATGCCGTCGACGGGGACGATGATGGTGGACCTGGTGGCCGACGTCTTCTCGGAGATCTTGAGGTACCTCCCCCGTGGATTCTCCTTCAGATCGAAGTAGAACAGCTTATGCTCGAACTGCAGCGTCTTGGAGACCAACTCCACGTCGTTCCCACCGCCCGCTCCCCCTTCCATCGCTCCGCACCTCCCCAACGCCCCAAACCCCAAATCTCTCCCAATTTAACTATCCGTGGACGAAGAATCGAGGTCTCAGGCTGGTGGAAGAACCCTAATCCAGGAAGGAATCCGGATCGAAAGCAAGGAGGGGTAGGGAGCGATGAGGTATTGTTGGAAGTGGGGTAAGATTAGGGTTTGGGGTTTGACCTCGCCCTCGCCCTCGAACAGGTCGAGAGCAAGGGGGTTTGTTTCACTTTCACGCTTCTTCTTGACCGTGGCTCTGTTGTTTGTTCGCCGAGCACAGTTACCAAATCAAAATTAAACATAATATCGCAATCATTCGGGATCGACTAAATAACATTTTTTATTATATATAATATATCTTTAATCAAATTCAATTTAGGTATATCATTATATAAATTATTATAATATATATTAATTGCTTTAATATTTATTATAGCTTTTAAAAATATTTAAATGTTATGCTTCATAAATAGCAAACTATGTGATCTAACGGATAAGAGTTTGGGGTGGGTGGGTGCTAAATTAAAATGTTTGAATCCAAGTTAACGATAATATATTCTTCATATATCTTTTCGTTGATTTGGCTGTTGACTAGTATTCTACACAAATAATTTAGCTCGATAAATGATCGTGACTAGGCATCATCACATCCAATTATCTACATAAGTATTTGATTCGAATAGCATAATGATGGTTGCATGGGGGAGAAGAACATAAAAGGTGGCAGGAAACGGCCGTTACGTCTTTATATCCGAAATCGTTTTATCCGAAACGATTGTGACTGCTGGTCCGTGGCCCTTGAACACGTGTACGGTGGATCCGAACCCGTCAGTTTCGATGCATTATGCTGATCGAACCCGATTACCCGTTTGCTAATTCGTCACCCGAATCCATAAAAGAAACCCTAAACCTAAATAATACCATACTCCCACCCCGTGCGCTTCTACTCGGCCTCCCTTCGAGTCCCTCCTCGATCCGGGTATCTTCTTCGCACCATCACCGCCGGGCCGCCGCGACATTGCCAACTCTTCCGACTGCATTCGAGGAGAAGGAATCGTCAAGGTTTTCATCTTCGCTTTTGTAAGTTCTTCAGATTTTGTTAGGGAAGATAACTTGACGTCGGCTTTTCTGTGTTGTTGCCAGAATAGATGAATCTTGATCTATATTTTTCTTTTTTTCTGATTTGTGAATTGGTTTTTGCTGTTTCGGGGGGATGTTGGTACCCAAAAATCGGATTTTGGAACGAGATGATGTACTTGGAACCCAAAAAAGGGGTTTTCGAGCTCGGGTTTGGGTCTTAGATGTATATTGCTTATTGTTTTTTGGCGTGTTTGATCGGATGTAATTTGATTGAATCGAGTTGGAGAGATCCATTTACTGTGACGCTAGTCTCTACCTTTCTTAAATCCCTAGCCAACCTTATCGCCACTTCCAGCCAAACTTCAGTGGATCTACACGAGGCTGCTGCAGCTTGCCTCCTGGTCCTCAGCGTTGAGTTGTCTGTACTTAATCAAAGGGTGGGAAAAAGGATTCGTTGTTTTTAACTCCTGGATGATTTATGCGTAGGAATTCAAGTGAAATGGGCGTAAAGGCAAAGAAGGCTTTGAAAAAGAAGCTGAAGAAGACGAACTCTTCTCAGCTATCAATTTCTCGTAGCAGAAATGAATCTTCTGATTTCTTGGTGAGATTTTTATGTTCGTGGTTGATGCCTCATTTTTGTTGTTGTATTTTTGTTTTTTTGGCCATCCTGTATTGACAAATTTGTTACTTTTACCATACAGCCTTTAGAAGGGGGTCCAGGGATGAAAATTACTCAAGAGGAAGATGAGCCCATCAAAAATACTGCAACTGTACTTTACATTGGCCATATTCCTCATGGATTTTATGAAGAACAAATGGAAGGTGAGGATCCTTTATGCTTTACTAGGAGTCAATTTGTTTGCGACTTAGATTGATACGGTACTTGCAATTTTGACCATGATAGGATTCTTTAAGCAATTTGGGAAAATCAAGCGGTTGAGGATTGCTCGGAACAGGAAGGTTCAATTCTTCTTCAGTTGCTTGTTGTTCAGTTGGTGAAGAATTTTAATGCATTTTTTTCTCTTTTTAAGTATCTTACCTACTAAAGGATGGTGCCTAGTGCATGAAAATACCTCATTGGGTTTAGGAAGGCTGAATATACGAAGTATTATCTCTGTGAGCAAAGCGGTTACAGAAAATGTGCTTCGAACTGTGGTCATCCTTAAGGAGAAACCTAACTGGTGCCAATGTATTTAATTAACTAATCATTTTAAATAGAATTCCTGTAGTTGAATCTTAAATTTATATTTTGATCCAAGTACTTTTACATCGTTTTATTCTTGATTATTTTCTGAAGAAAAGAATTCTTAAGTCATTTTTCAGTTTTTCAGCTTCTCTTTTCTCATTATGGATGATTGTTGGTATGATCGATATTCTAGGTTATGAAGACCACTTGTTTTCATTTTGACATTTTAGACTTTTATTTTTTTTGATGGATAGCATATTTAGATTATATTGGCCACCTTTTTATATTTCATTTTGCTAGCACTCTATTTAATCTATTGGTTTTAATTATAATGTGACATGTTATAGACAGGAAAATCTAAGCATTATGGATTCCTTGAATTTGAGAACCCAGAGGTGATTTTCTTTCCTTGAAAATTGTCAAACTTCTCTACATCAGCCAGGCAAACTATATGTATATAACATGTAATACATGTTTGATAATTGCAGGTGGCCAAAGTTGTGGCTGATGAGATTCATAATTATCTACTATTTGAACACAACCTTCAGATTCATCTTATCCTACCAGAGCGTGTTCATCCAAAGTTGTAAGCTTCTGTCTCAAGTTGATGGCATCTTTTCAATTGTTTAGGTTTAAGTTGGAGACAATCTCCCCATATGTAATCACACCTTTTCCTTGAACATTATGATATATTTATTTGATTTTTTATATGGTCATAGATCTCTAATTTTGGGAAAAAAATGGGATAAATTGCTTAAAGTTGGCGCACAAATATGAGAAATTTATCATTCACAAACAAGGACTAGAAAATGGATGGGCTGAATATTTATGTTGTTGTTTGCTGCAACTTAAAGTCAATCCTCCTTTCATTATTTAGGCTTTCTTTTCTTTCCCAGTAGTGGTACCTGTCCCTTTGACATATGGCAGCTACATAGATTAAATTGTTGTTCATGTTTTTTGGTAACTTTCTCTTCCGTCTCTATTTCTTGCTAGTTTCCTCTTAATTGTGCATATTATAGATAAGTTCTTAGATAATCATGTTATAGATACATGTAGAGAGATATCGGTCGATTGAATAGTGACTAGGACCCAATTTTGGTAGATATACTGTGCATGATAAAGCCTTATGTACAAGGAAAAAGATGTTGTGTAGGTTCTAACCATTCCATTTTCAGCAGTGCAGACAATAGTCAAATTATTTTGCATCTTTTTGTTGAAAGATATGTAAATTTGAATCTTCAAGTATACCTGATTATATGTCAGGTTCCTCCAACATAATCTCTGTTAGTGACCATATATTTGGTGGCTTTTGGATAAAGGCTTATAATTTTAATAAGACTGCAAATCTGGAAAAGTCAGCAGGTAGTAGTAGTGTCTGATATTTAATGTAATTATTAAATAAAATTCCAGTCCATGTGTCCTGGTCTTCTTTAAGATTGATACCTGAAATGAGGGATGTGTGACATATCGTGGAAGTGAAATTTGGCTGCATCTTTGTCATTATATAATCTGTTTCTATTTATTACTTTTGGACCTGCAGTTATATGTAATTGTTCTTTTTGCCCTATATTTAATTTTTGCTGCAGATGGAGAGGTGTAAATTGGAGATACAAACCATTGAATTGGACAGAAATTGCAAGAAAGCAGCATAACAAGGTAAGCCTGTGAAAATAGCTGTTCACTCGATTTATTTATTTTTTCTAGGTAAGGCCTGTAAAGAGATGTTTCAAGGTCTGTTTCAATCCATTTTTACCTTACGAAGAAAACTGATCTTATTTTGTCTGAGAATATATGGATCGAGAAGCTTCATCAATATTTGGATCTGTGATAAATTGGATATGAATGTCCTTGGGGGAGCCCAAACTGATCTAGCTAAAATTTGAAGCTATATGCATTTATCTCCAGATGTTTTATTGTCTGTAAAAAAGGAAATTCTGCTTTTAAAGATTCCATCATCATGGTTTATGTATTAATGTTGTCAAACTTCTATCCTAGAAAAATGTCAAGCTTCATAATGATTGGTAATAAGATGCCAGGCAGGATGGTAGTTCCTGGCACATGCGGGATGCTATGGCCCAGGCATTTTTGTTGCTGATTGATGACGTAAGAGTCGAGGTATAAAAGGGCATAGAAAGCATCAAAGGTGTTTTGCTTTTTCTTTATCTCTCTTTTTGTTTTGTATGAGTAGGATGGAGGGGGGACTATTGTGTGGGTGAATGTTTGTATAGACTGACAACCTTTGGGTCAATTGCTTAGTTGTTGTTATGGTGCATATGTTTTTTGGGCACAAGTGCTGTATGTCACATATAGTCACAGATCAAGTCATAGAGGATAATATAATTGATGGCCAAAGCCACCCATGCATGTATAGATTAACCACCTTTAGTTCAATTGCATCTAGTTGCAGATCAGGTTATAAAGGATTGTATATACCATTGTCTATGGCATCTATTGCTAATCTAATCAGACCTTGAATTTACACCAAATTTTTTATCCAAATTTGACCTAATTGGAATGACCTCTTGATGGGATCAGCCGAGATCATATCAATTGTCTGATAAGTTTCAATTTTTTTCATGATATTTTTTCTTCTGATATATGTTCAGGATAGAACAGTTGAAGAACAACAACAGATGATTCAGGGGATTCAAAAACGAGATAAGAAGCGGCGTAACAGAATCAAGGCTGCTGGTATTGATTATGAGTGCCCGGATCTCGTAAGTGAAAATGTTTCTTTTCAAACTTTGTTGATTGAGTTCAATTTATGCTATCTTTTATAAGTCAAATAGTGCAGGTTAAGTAAAGAAAGCAAAATTATTCCAACTCTCTTTGTATGCTAGAGTTTGTATTCTTAACCCATCAGTTTCCATGTCTTCTACCTAAAAGCAATAGTAAAACAATGTTTTGTTTCAGTCATTTCCAGGTACTCTGCATTTTCACTTGTCGTCAGAGTCTCATTTAAAGTTTTTTCTACCCCTTATTGTTTGCTGGTGTTCTTTTGTGGCTTTATAAACATTCAAAGGTCAAGCTTGCAGCTGACTTGGAGTTTGCCTTCTAGATAAAGATGGTCTTCAACTAAATATATCACAAATTTGGATTGCCAAGAAAACCTTGTTCCATATAACTCGGATTAACTTCTTTGTTTAAAACAGCTCACTTGTCTGTCTAGTGTTGACTGTATTTCTGCTGCAGGTCTATGTATTGCATTGTTATTATCCCTCTAAGCTCCCAACTTTTGGGTGTCAGTTACATGGTTCTTTTCCTCCAATTAATTTTTTCCTGATTTTCCTCCATTGAGTTATAAGATGAAAATATTACTAGTTAGCTCATGAGAGGAATCAAATTTCTTTTTGTTCTTCATGTTACGATTTCTCAATGTCTTCCTTTTCCTGTTATCGCACCTCCCATCACAAAGGGTGTTCTTTAGGTATGTCAATGCCATCTTAAATGGTTTTCCTTCATTAGTGCAAGCTGAAACCATGGCATTTTATCCGGGCTATCATCAAGTCAGCATGATGTTTGTCAAAGTTGGCAATAGCATCCTTTTTCGAAGTGTAAACAACTTAATTTCTTATTCTTGAATCTTGTTTTTCTTTTCCTTCATTTCAGGTTGGTCTCATTCAGCCTGCTGCTAAGAAAATTAAGTTTGACGAAGAAGAAGAAGAGTAAGTTTACACGAAGGAAGGCAGTGACTATCAACTTACCTGAGGACGGTGTTAAGTACTTTGTCCAAGTTTGCTTTATGGCTTTGGATATGAATTTGTTGCTCGCAGCTGCTTGCTAATCTCGAATTTTGGTCTTCACATCATAATCATGTAAGTGCTGTGTAATTGGATTTTGTATTACACTTGACTTGGATTGAGCTATCCAGTATTATGACTGAAATAACATTTAGTATGGATATCATATCAGTATCATTTTTTTGAGAATTGAAACCATGCCTTTCGAGAGAAGCAGGCAAGTGGCACAATATGGCTTATATACTAACTGATCGAACTTGTCACATACTGTTTCTGGTTAGACATTGATTCTAAAAGAATTGGATCAACAGGTCATGTTGAAGTTACCGGGCTGGGCATTTATTTCATGATTATGGCAAGCTTGGATTCAGTTAGCTGATATGTGACCAATAAAATTCATGGTGTTTGTTTGTCCTTGTGAAGCCTCAGTGTTTCAAATATGCTTAATTTTCAAATATGTTAACTTGATCAATTGACAAGAACAAATGCTTCTGCTATTTTGGTTACTCATCTGTGATGAATGTTTGTAGCTGCCACCATCCACTACTTGTCATGGATCTGCCCAAACAGTTTTTGATGATAGCAATTGATTGAAATGCTTGTCCAGCTACCAATTAGAAACATTATGTTTAAGGTGGCAAATTGTGGTTCCACAGTGGGTATATGTCCTTTTCCTGATACTAGAATGGTGATGAAGCACAAGTGGCTGAAAGCCAAATTAAATGTGCTGTGTTGCTGTAGTGATGGTATATGTGAACCTAAAGCATTCATTGCCTTTGGATTATGCATGGAGAATTATAACTGCCATGCAAATACTGCCTTTGGTTTATGGGGCAATTTGGTTCCCAGGAATATGGTTGAGAGTATCTTTATCAAAGAACAAATGTACTTGTTTTTTCTCAAAGAGTATTTGTCATGAGTTGGTTTGATGAGATAATTATAACTAAACTAATAATCTGATGAATTTATATCATTTTCAATATCTGTCTTCATCAAGAACTAATATAACTTGTGCATAAGAGGCTGAATCAGATTGATTATTGGTTTATTCTTTTAGCCCATCATTATTAAGTTGGTTCTAATATCATTCAATAAAATTATTCATTGAGTCAACATATATGAATTCAATAGTTCCTTACTTCTGATATAGGATTAAATTAAAATTATTTTATTGAGTCAACATTTATGCAACATATCAAAACTGCTCTCTAATTCCAAAATATTTTTTTTGCTTTCCCTGAGAGGTGGTTTATCTTATTCTTTAGGCTATCTTTCAGATCTAAATAGCCCACCTATTCTCCTCCTCCACCATGTTCTTTTAAAGAAGAAAATAAGTTTGAACTCAGCAGTTATGCTGATCAATTTCTCCCCTGCTGCATGTTAAAAATCTCATAAACATATTTCCTAATAGTTTTAATTTTTTGGAATCCTTGATCATCAGATCAGCATCTTTATCTTGGTACCAGAGCAGATCCTGATTTGGAAATCTATATGTCATTCTCTATTTCATCATTTTCATCCTATTTTTACTTAATATTTGTGTAACAAATTTAAGCTTTATACAAAAACCTCAAATTCTCTCTCATTTTTTATCTGCTTTTGGATGATTCGAGTGTCTCAATACATGTCCTAAAATCCGGGCTTCTCAGTGTGTAGGATAAATGAGAACTTTAGATGCTTTACCTTTTGCTTTCAGCAAAATGTTGTAGTAGAAGTTGCAATAAAAATCACAGGCAGGAGAATGCATTTATTCTTCTGTTCTATATTATCCCACAAAGACTCCTGTTGTTAGGCTGATCATGGCATTGTGGATGCCATCAATGACATACCAACCTATTCTTCCTAACCCATCAATCATTGTGTTGCAATATTTGGGTTATTGGAATATACACAATGTAGTTCTTTTTATCAAGGGATTTGCTTGTATGCATTCTGGTGACTGCTTCAGCAACCTCACATTTTAGGCATGTGATGTTTTGAAATCTCTTTTCCATGTTGTTCATTGCTTGAAGCATAAAATCCTCTGACATTACATGTTGGCTTGACTCAGACAAGCTATAGATGATATTTATCAGCAAATCTCTATGCATGCTACTTCTTTAGGTCCTACACAGGCATGAGGGATATTGAAGAGTAGTGCAAGCAAACACTGGAATAAGACAGTGTAAAGCCTTGTAGTTTTCTGATGGCACACCCAGGAACAGCTGTGCTACTCTGGCTAAGAGAGGGGGAGGGGGCCAAGAATTTGTTTTGAGCAATTAGATAAGATTATTCTAGGATTGAGTGTAATCTTATAAAGAGCTCAAGTGAGTCCCTTATCAGTTTTGTGGATGAGAACAACACACTGGCTGTAGTTTCCTTGTGGCAGATACTTGTCCACTGGTTCATATGAACATTTAGTGAAAAAGATAAAACCAGGTATGCTACTTGCAAGGTTTCAAGAAAGTAAACTGAAAAATGTCAACATCGATCTTGGTTGTTCTACACAAGCTTAGTGTCAACGGATTTAAAGTTGACTTGATCGAGTGAATAATCGATAAAAATTAAGTCGAGATCATATCCGATTATCCAATAATTGGATAAGCCGTCAAGACACATCAATTAGTGTGGTGTGCTGAGATTGTTTCTCACTTAATGTTGACACATAAGACTGATAAGCTATTCGACTTAGGTTTTGGACTGACAATAACTTGGCCTCCTAATGTTCTTCAAGTGTTAGATTCTCCATATCAAAAGGAAGATAATTGACACTTTTGAAACATGCAATTTGAGTATTTCTGAGCCCACAATAAATAATCTGCAATTTTTCAGGTAGGCAAGAAAAAAAAGACAACAGGTGTGTGCAGTAACTATCATGTTCAGCTTAAGCAACATCAACAACATTGTGTGAGTGCCCAGCAAAACAGAGGCTCAGATTTTGTGCTGAAAGGCAGGGGGACAAATCAAATAAGTGAAGGCACAGTCTACATGGAGGAAATGTAGCCAGAAATTAAGGAATAAAGTCAGACAAGCTGAGGTAAGGAAAAACTTGTATTTAGATAATGTCATAAATAAAAAACTGTTAATTTTCTTAAAATCATCATAATACTTTCGATATAATCATTATTTTCAATCAATCAAAACTTCACATGGTATCGATCGAGCATACTATGTCGGTTCCGAAGATAACAAAAAGCCTATTTGACATACAATGATACTTAAAAGTGAATAAATTTTTGTTAAAACGATGATTATAAATTTGATACTCTATTTAATCATAATAAATAAATCAAAAGTAGACTTGATCATTAATAATTTCTTATCGAAAATATCTCGAGAGTAGTCTTTTATAGAAATAAAAAATAAGATATGAGATATAAAAATCCTTTACCCTCGAATTACATCACGATAGATATTAGTGATGAAATATGAACATTTTTCACCTACAAGTGAAATAAAATTCTCCCCAATCGATAAAACTTTTTTTTTCCTTCCACACACAATAACATATGGAAAATTGATTGACTATATCAACTTTACTTACACTAATAAAACTTGCTAAGTAAAAAAGAATTGATATAAGTATTATTTCAGCATAATATCAGATGAGGAATTATATATCCAATGTTTGATACTTGGGACCAGTGGTTCACTGTTGTTGTAAGACAAAGAAGACAAACTTGCCTCATTAACAATTAAGACCACTGTCACCAAAAATCCCTTGAGAGCAATGTAGTTGGATCCTGTCTTCACCTCCAACCTGGTTTACTGATTCACATCCACATGAGGATCTGACATGATCTCCACCTGCAATCTTAGTAAAAGAATATGTAAAGGTTAGTATGTCTATCTAAAGTTATAAAGTTTATAATTTTTTTTATCATAGTGATTTTTTTTTTTTTTACAAAAATGGAGATTCCATCATAAGATATTGCTATCACTAATCAAAATTAAAAATTTATCATTGATATACCATCAGCTGTCAAATTTATCAGATAAGGTTTCAAAGAAAGCCACACTAATATTCTGAATGTATGAACATCCTTAATCTAAATCACTATTCAGATAAGGTAAGTAGAAATAACTCAGCATTCATCAATCATACACCTTAAAAAAAAGAAAAAAGAAAAAAGAAAAGTTCTAAGCTCCTGTGTGTGCTCAGTGGAATGTGCTGAAAACTGAGACTCTTACATATACCTCATCTTCGGTAGCTTCACTTTCAATCCGATGGAACTCTCTTCACTTCCTCTCTTCTTCTGAACTCACTCTCGTCTTGCCTCCCCCTGAGAAGCTTCACAGATACAGTGTTGATGGAGAGGTACAGAGTAACAGCAAGTTTTCATGAAGATCTCCCTCAGAGGCCGACCAGCTTCCAAACAACCCCCTCTTTCGTCTCCCTCCCGCCCGCCTCCTCCTACCTCCGCCCCGCTGCCGCCGGCATCGCCCGCCGCGTCAGCCGCTGCGTTGACGACACCGAGATCAGCATCTTCGACGCCGAGCGCTACTTCAACGATGGCCACGACCCCATCGATCGGACCACAAGTCTCAACGGCGCCGCCGAAAGGCGCGACCTTTTGACCCGCCGGATAGGCTCCTTCGTCGCCTCGACCGTCGGCTCGTCCTCCTCGACGCTGACCGCCTCGTCGGAGGCCAGCTGGAACAGCCAGTGCGGCCTCCTATCCTGTTCGCCGGGCTCTGTTTCTGTCGCGATGAGAGCCTTGCCTCCGAAGGAACCCAGGAAGTCGCCGTCGTCTGCCGCCCGCCGCTTCTTCGCGCGGAGGTGCCCGTGCTCCGGCGGGAAGTCCGTCGACGTCGAAGACAAGTGCTCCGGTTTGGATATGAACACCTCTTCTACTGCTAAGAGTCTCCGCCTTAGGACAGGGGAAGTGGGTCTAAGCAGCTACCCGGAGAGAGAGAGCGTGATGCCGGAAGAGATCAAGAACGGTTTCGGTGTCGAGGAGATGATAAAGGTGAAGATAAATCCTGGAAATCGCCACAAAAATCCCAGCTTTTTCCGTAATTCCATCCAATTCTTGCCAGAGAGGCGATTTCCAGCGGAGATCGGTCGCCCAATGCTGAACTCTGGGATCCTATTCGGCGATTCCGGTGGGTTCTCCTTCCCCATCTTGAACCCAACCTCTTTGACCTCCGCCGAAGAGCCGCCACGGGAATCTCTCGAGGTCTTCCGGCCGACGAAGGAGACTGCCGGAGACCCCCCGGGATTCGCATATCGGGCAATCTTGAAGTCCCCGCCCGAGGACGACGCGGCCAGCGACGCAAGCTCGGACCTTTTCGAGATCGAGAGCTTCTCCACCCAGACGACATACCGCCCTGGTGGTGACTCGCTCGACCCGCACGAGCGGCTACGGCGGGACCTCGAGGAGATGCCGCTGCCGCCGTCCATCGCGCCGAGCGAGTGCTACCCCCCGAGCGAGGTGAGCGTGGAGTGGAGCGTCACCACCGCGGAAGGGTTCGACCGAGCGAGCCTCGCCAACTTCTCGACCTCCGCATCCGACTTCGGGGAGCTCCGCTTCTCGGCGGCGACGGGCGGAGCACCCGCAGGCGGCAGGAGGCGGAAGTGTAACGGTCTTCTCAGCTGCGGGAACGAGAAAGCGGTGAGCGTCGGGCCAAACCCGGTCCGGTTAGCACCATCGGTTCGACCCCACCACGTTCGTCGGGCGATGAGCCACGCGGTTCGGACGAAATAGACCGGTTATGGTTGGTTCAGAAGTCTTTAACGTCTCCTGTGTTTTTTTGTGCTCTAGAAAATAATTTGTTGTTCGTTTCTGTGTCAAACATTTTGATTTTATATATTTATATTTATATTTATATTTATATTATATCTAAAATATTTACCTGCAGGTTATTTTTGTTTGTACTCAAGCAATATCCGCTCATCATGAATATATATATATATATATATATATATATATATATATATATATATGTTAGTGATTTTAATCGTAAAAGAATATATATATATATATATATATATATATTATTTTATCAAGATCTATTATTATTATTATGGATTACAAACTAATACATATCGAAATAATATCATTATTAGTTCTCGTATCACATTCCTCGAATCATTTCTTGACGTTTTATAAAAAATTTCAAAGAATATATGAGAGTTTTGAGGGTTCATCAAGCTAGTCTTATCAATAGAAAAGAAGAAAAAGATATTTCTATGATCTTATGTCAGAGAAAAATAATCTTATCATCATACATACCAAAAGTCAACCTTACATGGATTGCATCCAACAATCACAACAACAAAGAGCACAACAGGCTATGGAGGCAAGGGAAGGTTATTGGTCTCTTGCGTGGTCGATAAGTCATGATTCTTTTTCTGGCCTTGGGAGTGAGTCTATGTGAGCATGTGAAGAGTCAAAAGTGGAGACGTAGGTTTGCACGGAACAAATAGCAAACAGAGAAGAAGGGAGGTGAGCGTCAAGAAAGGTGGAGAAATCTCAGTAGGTATCTAAAGCCACTTTGATCTCTCGAACTTTTCGGCATTGCAGAACAGGAGGAATTAGATGGTCTCTGCAACTTTTCGGTCAGGTGGTGTTATGGAATCCCTTGGACTCGAATGTGTCATCATGCGACGAAGGTTTCAGCAAGCAGGATTAAGCAAAACATGCAGCATCCATACGGACAATAATAATAATAATCAGAGCACAGTGACAAGAAATAAGTTGCTCCATTTGTCTGCTATATTGTAGATGTGGGCAGTTTGCCACAGAGAAAACGTGCAAGTTCCTGTTGGATTTATACTTCTGCAACGGGAAAGGTGGAAATCAATCAACACTGCTTCCTTCTATCTGACGAAGGAGGAAAACAAGAAACCCAGCAAGCAAAAGAGACAGGAACAATCAAACCAAGAAGACTCGAAGGACCAAAGAGATACCTTACAACTCTTTACTGAAGGGTTAGTGACCATGCTGCTATCATTGCTCAAGCTAATAATACAAGTTGTAGGCGACAAAAGCATACACCTTGGTCCCGTCTTTATCCTTTATAAATACAAGAAAAAGAATGTGCATCACAGATCTTACACAATTTAAGCCATAGTATTATCCCATGTTTATGTTTGAGTAGTAAATATTCTGTGACCTAAAGGAGATGTTTCTATGATGCATTTCAGTCATGATGGTATATAGCAAACCATCTGGGAGCAATCAGAGGTTGCAAAAAAGATCATTTAATTCCCAGGAGATGAATAGGACTCGGAGATGTAATCCACAGATACAACTGCATAGAGTTCAATCTAAAGGAAGAGGAGGAAATAAACCCAGACTGTACCTGGAAACAGGGAATGCAAAATAAACCCCAGATGTAATCAATCCATTGTGAGATCAACTAAAACGACGTCCGAAACCCTCAATCGGCCCGGTAGCGGAAGGTCTGACGTTCCTTTTTGTTGGGAAGAAACCTGTTAACGCGGAATAATTCTTTCCCTCTTTTGTGTATCAAAATAGGTTCCTCATCAAAATACCAACTTGATATCCAAATGAAAATATCAAGGTCTCACAGAGTGGATATCGCAGGAAAGTACCTTAGAGAGGGTAAACTGCAGATCAACACCGTTAGGATTGTAGAGTTTGCTGCAAGGATTCTCCACATAAAATTTGGGTCGAAACTGATAACGTTTGGCCATCGATCATCAAGCAGAAAACTCAGAAACCTAATCTTTCTCTCTCCTCTTTCATCTGCACACCGCACGCTGCACGCTGCAATCTCACTGTGCGCACACACCCGCTGCAATCTGCCCAATTTTGCCCTTTCTCTCTTAATTACTGATTTGGGCTCAATAGGCCCAATTGTCCAAGTCCACATATGGGTTGGACCCAACAATTCTCCCCCTCCAGCTCATATGGTGGGCTGTACCAAGCCCGCTCTTCGCCTACATACTTCAAGCTTCTCCTTAGGTAAAGACTTTGTCAACATATCTGAACCATTCTCATTGGTATGTACCTTTTCCAACTGTAATTCTTTCATCTTAAGCACATCACGAATCCAATGATATCTCACATCAATACGCTTGGATCTAGAATGGTATGTTGAATTCTTGGAGAGGTGAATGGCGCTCTGACTGTCACAGTAAACAGTGTATACTTCCTGTTTCAAGCCCAATTCTTGTAGAAACTTTTTCATCCATAAAGCTTCCTTGCAGGCTTCAGTAACTGCTATGTATTCTACTTCTGTGGTTGATAGAGCAACACACTTCTGTAACTTAGACTGCCAAGAGACTGCTCCTCCTGCAAATGTCATCAAGAATCCCGAAGTGGACTTCTTGGAATCAGTATCACCTGCCATGTCTGCATCTGTGTAACCTTCTAACATAGGTTCATCACCACCAAAACATAAACACAACCTGGAAGTACCTCTTAGATATCTTAATATCCATTTCACTGCTGCCCAATGTTCCTTTCCAGGATTTGAGAGAAATCGGCTAACAACTCCAACTGCATGAGCTATATCTAGCCTAGTACAAACCATAGCATACATCAAACTGCCTACTGCAGATGAGTAAGGCACTCTGGATATTTCTTCTTTTTCTTTCTCACTTGTAGGACATTGTTTCGAACTTAGCTTGAAATGACCTGCAAGTGGGGAACAAACTGCTTTGGCTTTACTCATGTTGAATCTTTCAAGAACCTTTTCAATGTAAGTCTCCTGAGATAGCCAAATCTTCTTTTTCTTCCTATCACGAAAAATCTTCATGCCAAGTATTTGTTTCACCGATCCCAAATCTTTCATGGCAAAAGACTTACTTAGCTCTCTTTTAAGCTTTCCAATTTTTCCAACATCATGGCCAACAATCAGCATATCATCAACATATAGCAGTAAAATAATAAAATCATCATCTGAAATTTTTTTCATAAACACACAATGATCAGATGTGGTTCTATCATACCCTTGGCTCATCATAAAGGAATCAAACTTCTTGTACCACTATCTAGGTGCCTGTTTGAGTCCATATAAACTTTTCTTAAGCTTACATACCAGATTTTCTTTTCCCTTGACTTTGAAACCTTCTGGTTGCTCCATATAAATTTCTTCTTCTAAGTCACCATGAAGAAATGCTGTTTTTACATCAAGTTGTTCAACTTCTAAATTCAAGCGGGCAGCCAAACCAAGAACAACTCGGATAGAGGATATTTTTACAACCGGAGAAAATATTTCTTCAAAGTCAATACCTTTCTTCTGACTGGATCCTTTCACAACTAGTCGTGCCTTGTATCTCTGTTGTGAGCTATTATTTTCAGTCTTCAATTTATAAACCCACTTATTCTTGAGAGCTTTCTTCTCTTTAGGCAATCTTACCAAGTCATAAGTGTGGTTCTCAAGCAAGGATCTCATCTCTTCTTGCATGGCTTTAACCCACTCACTCTTATTCTCATGTAGAATAGCTTCTTGGTAAGTTTCTGGCTCTCCCCCGTCAGTAAGCATAACATACTCATGTGGAGGATATCTGGTAGATGGTTGTCGCTCTCTAGTGGATCTTCTCAATGGAATCTCAACTGGTGGTGGAGGTGCCTGTTCAGTTGGTTCAACCTCATCAATTGTAGGTATATCATCACTTACATTCTCACCATGATCTTTTTGTTCATCTCCCCATGATCATCATGAACTACAGGTGAAGGAACTGGACCCAAACTCCAAGGAATATAAACAGAGGTTTCTGGCTTCTCAACATTATCACCATCATCAAACAATTGGTCTTCAAGAAACACAACATCTCTGCTTCTAATAATCTTCTTGTTCACTGGATCCCATAATCTGTACCCAAACTCTTCATGACCATATCCCAAGAAGATACATGCTTTTGCCTTATTATCAAGCTTGGACCTCTCATCTTTAGGAATATGCACAAATGCTTTACACCCAAAGACTCTCAAATGATTATAAGATATATCTTTTCCTCTCCATACTCTCTCTAGAACATCACCTTGCAGAGGAACTGATGGAGAAAGATTTATTAAGTCAACTGTAGTTCTCATAGCCTCCCCCCAAAATGACTTTGGTAACTTGGCGTGGGAAAGTATACACCTAATCCTTTCTTCAATGGTTCTATTCATCCTTTCTGCCACACCGTTCTGCTGAGGAGTTTTAGGAACTATTTTATCAAGCCTGATACCATGGAACCTGCAATAATTCTCAAAAGGACCCCTGTACTCGCCACCATTATCTGATCGAACACACTTGAGTTTTCTGCCAATTTCTCTTTCAACACTGACATGAAACTCCTTGAAAGAATCGAGTACCTGGTCTTTAGATTTCAAAGCAAAAGCCCACACTTTTCTAGAATGGTCATCAATAAAAGTAACAAAATAAAGAGCACCTCCAAGAGTTCTAGTTTGCATAGTACAAACATCAGTATGAACTAAATCAATAACATCTGATCTTCTAGATGATAGATATGTCTGAAATGCAACTCTATGTGTTTTTCCAACTAAGCAATGATCACAAGATTTAAGAGATGTACCTTGCAACTCTGGTAAGAACTGCTTTCTAGCAAGAGTTTGAAGTCCCTTCTCGCTGATATGTCCAAGCCTCTTATGCCAAAGATCTATACTTTCACCTTTTTGAATTGCATTAATCTCTCCTTTGTGTAGCTTAGCTTCCATGACATAAAAAGAGTTAATCTTCTTTCCTTTTGTCACGATTAGAGAACCTTTAGTGAGTTTCTATTTGCTTTCACCAAAATAATGTGCAAAGCCCTCATCATCAAGTCTACCTATAGATATCAAGTTAAGACGAATATCTGGAACATGCCTTACATCTTT